CTGAAAATTTATACCCTTTGACAGACATCTTCCCATTTCCTACAACCCTGATAACCACTTTCTAATTTCTGTTTCTATGAGTTCAACTGTCTTGGATTCTACATGTGAGATCATTCAGTATTTGTCTTTCTGGTCTGACTTATTTCAGTTAATATAATGCCCTCAAAGTCCACCTGTGTTGTTGCAAATAACAGGATTTTCTTTTTTAAAAACTGACTAATATCCTGTTATATATTTGTATCATATTTTCATCTATGGGCATTTAAATTTTTTCCATGTCTTCACTATGGATTTCTTTTTTTAAGGGTGTTATTTTGTAAGTTAATCAAAAATGGGCAATAAATTATATTAGTACTAATTTAAAAATTATCTCTGTAATACTCACTGACACTTCCTGTCTTTCATTTTAAGAGGTTATGTTCTATTTGAAAGCATGGCTACTTAAAATAGAGGCGCATTTTCTCCCCTTATTGTTAGAGAATCAAGAACACAACTCTTTATTAAGGAATTTAAACTTAGGACACATAATTAAATAATATTACAGGGCCAATTTTCAACAGAAACACATGCATTAATGCTCTTATACACTAATCTGGATTAGTCATTGTGATTTTAGCTTAGAGTAAAAAAAAAAAGTCTTCACCAGGTGCTTGCCCCACCCAGTTTTATTTCCTCGAAGTTAGTTTTAAAATCCCTCACTTGATCTACTCATTGTTCCTGGACTATAAGAGAGAGAGAATGGTTAAGAGTTTAGGTTGTCTTTCTAAGTATTCTCAAAAAGGCCAGGCCCAAGTCATAGCATCACTTCACTGGAATTTTCACCAAAAAATGATGGAATTTTGAAGCAAGAATTAAGCTTAGGTAACCTCTTGTCCAGCTCCTTTTATACAGATTAAGAAACTGAATCTCAAGAAGGTAAATGACTTGTCAGGACTATGGGGCCTGCTTTGCCAGAACTGGACTCAGGTCCTTGACTCTCTGTCCAGTGTGTTTTTTTTTGTTTTGGTTTGGTTTATTAATGTAAAATGATGGGTTCTTCAATTTTCTCCTTGTAAATAAACAGTATTCTCATATTTGTATTGTATAGCTTCTAACATGAACTACATAAAACTTAGTTTGCCTACAATCATTCTATCCAAATAGTTTTTATTATAAAGTGCCCATTTTAACAAGTGTACATCACTTCCTAAGATTTTAGAAGAAATATTTGAGTGACATTTTGAACTAGGTATGTGTGAATGAATATCATGTTACACAAATGGACAAAATAGGGTAGAGATAATTATTTTTATGACATTCCTTTGAATCTGGAAGCCGGTGGGAGAGATGGATTCAAGGTTGCACACAGGAAGTGCCTGTCAGTTGGGAACAGAGGTGGTGAAATACTTTTAGGA